ATCCAAATAAACAGTATTATTTGTAAAACGACTGGGGATCACATGATGTCCGGTGACTTTTGATAGGCCACTGTACAATGATCATGCGGAAAATGTACATTCCTCGAATATTAGCTCCCTTGTTATTCAATAAAGTCATTATTATATAATACGTATATTTCAAAGATTTGTATCACGTGGAGATGTGAATTTTATTATTAACAGGATTAAGTTTCGAAAATGCAAACTTTTTGCTTTACATCATGAATGTTTACACTCCTTTATGGAAACATTAATAAATTAAATCTGGATACGGAGGTATGTATGATAAACTTGCGTATAATTCTTCGAATTCAAAAGCTATTGTATTTTTTTAATGATGCTAACTGACTAGCCTATTTTCTTCTCGATAATCGATGTGTTTCTCGAATTGATTCGCGGAGGTTTTCAAGTAATTGAGCAACACTTTTGATTGCTTTTTCAAAGCACGTGTATAAACGACGTCTGTCTCTACATTGAATAACGTGCGCTGATAATCTCTCAGGTAATAATCAAACTCATTCAAATTTGCAACTAATGACTTAATGAATTTTTTCATTTGGCGAACTTGTCTTAGTTCCTTTTCTACCCTGATTATTTTGCCATAATCAATGAATTTTTCAGCCAATAGTTTTTAATTGCTCGCTCAGCTTCTCTTTCAGGATCTAGGAAAGATTCCTAGCATTAAGTTTAACCTTGCTCAAAGAACTAATCATCTTATTTAATTGTCCTTTGAAGTCTCGAAAGACGAGTTCCAGAAATTTTAATTGCCGTTGAATGAACCCTGATCATCATTCCAATACGTGAACATTTTATAAAATTAGTCAACGAGAAGGTCGGGAATATATGTGTCGTAGAAATATAAGTTCTCGTCTTCATCCGATGAGTTTTCAGCATCTAATACGTCGTATATTAATGACATTTTAAATTGTAAATTATTAACGGCTTCTGATGATTTGTATCGAAAGTCGTTTATATCTTCTTCAGCAACTTTTAATATTCTCAGCTAAACCGTTAAGACGACCGGAAATAAACAGACCATTTTAGTTGAACCTCATAGCTTTGTCTTAAAGTGTCAGCAAGATCATATAAATACGACTAAGTGTTGAGTATACGCCGATGTTTCTTTGAAAAACCATTTTGTTAAAAGGGTGATAGGAGGGATTGTATCATCAAATGATATTATAAAGAATAGAATACCTGGACAACCTAGATCAAATAAATTTTTATTCGTCGAATTCGTTGCAGTCTCTTGATATTTACACTCTATTGAACTTTGATTAGTATGCAAATCTAAATGCATATACTGTAATATCGACGGACACAAAAAACCAGTGATGTTCAACATACGAAATAAAATCCAAATCCTAATAGAAACAACACAGCAACGAGCGAGAGCTTAGCTTTATTTTTGGTGCACCAGAAATGAAATCCTCGTAACAGAAACTCGAATGCAGCATAAGCTTTTTTCCATGAATAACAAAACACCACCTCGAACTTTCTTAAAATAAGCATATTTACTGCCAAAATACGACTAAACGTAAAAGGAAGTTTTAATATCGCCCATATGATTCACAATAAAGTAAAAAATAGTGCACGAAAAAATTTTGAGACCTCGGTGGGGAAATGAAGCGTCTTCACCTTTTGTAAATTAAAATACAATTTTAGTATAGAATTTGTAATAGAAATAAATAAAATAATCTCACTACTTTGTTTATCTAATCTGTTTTCTTCTTGAATTTCTTTTACTTCTAATACTTGAGCCATTTCTAACTGTAATAAAGAGAAAATACGTGCGTAGTTAGAGAAGATAACTAATAAAAAAAGCAATTCTTTTATAGTTGCGATTCTTCTGGATGCGTCATTAAAAAATATATATCACTATCAGACAACGACATTTTTTCATTGTACATATGATAAATTTTTTCTGCTCTTAGCTTATTCCCACGATGTGGGTAAAGCGGATAAAATCAGCGACAATAATAACGCAACACCGGCTATCAGTCATCATGATAAGATAGGCTTATTATTATTTGTCATTAATCGAAAAAAATTAGTTAGTTATATACACAATTAAAAAAAAGTATCATTAGTATCAAAGGTTGGCGTCGAAATAGTACTGCAACCACTATAGTCTGATTCTTTAAACACGACTGATGTATATCGATATCATTTTTCTCTGGATTTACTGAATTCTGAAAGTTTACTTTGAGTTATTGTAATCTCAATGTCCAATTAATATTTAAATGCACCATAAAACGCTCTGTATAGCACCTCCCCAATAAAAAATTCAAAACTTAATTTATTAATAAAATTAACTATTTGTTTTGCAAATAAAAAAGTTCAAATTCACAGTGTAATTTCTTAAAAACCTAAGTTAATAATTTACAAACCTTAAGATTAAATTGTTTGAATTTTTTAAATTTTTTGCAGGGGAGGGGTACTGTACAGATTCTGTAGTTTACAGTATGTTAAAGATTTGAAATAATTAACTCTGTAGCTAAGTACATAACTTTAGCACACGTTTGATCGTTAATTTACATACAGTTCATGTACATGTATTTTGTTTGTATTATGTAATGCTAGCGTTACAAAGATATATCAATATTTTTAACGCCACGGTGCAATCGCGGTGTAGCTACAATAAAGATTTTTCTGCATAATATAGTATACATGTATATTAAAAAAATATTATTTCGAATCTACACTAATACTACTACCACGATTTTTTTCGTACATGTATAGTTTTTTATCTACCCTTTTCTTATATACACAAAAGCAAACTACGAGCATAATACTTATTAATACCATAACTCCCATACCGGCACCTAAGCCAATGATTAAAATGTTATTTTGTTGGGTAACTTCTATTGCTCCGCATAATTCTCCTAAGGGTTTTCGAGGAAGGATTGCATTTATTGTGCCACCAGTAACATTATACCATTTGCATTCATAATCCCGTTGAAATATATCACCACAAATCGTAACAGCAACAACTTCGTGAGGTATGCTAGTAGTACTATTAGTGATAGTAATATTGCATGTTTTGTAATTGGTTCCATCATCACAAACCGTTATGCTTTTGGATTCTTCTACGGTAGTGCGATTCACCATCCATTTGACAGCTTCGGGAAAGCGGTAGTAGTTTTCATAGTTTTTAGAGGAAGTATCTACGGACAAACAAAAGAAACCTTTTTGGAAACCACCACAGACTTGGGCTGACATTACATCGTAATCAGCTCGTTTACAAGCGTCAAGCCTAGTAATATCTTGACATTGGGCTGCTTGAGAAATGCAACTAGATGAGTAAGTAGAACAATCCTTACTAGAACAACAATATAGTTGGTCAAGTGAAATTTTGCCCGTCTGTGCTTGACTACAAATTACACTTTTAGGCGTATTATCGAAATTGCTAATAGGTCTATACATAATGAAACGAGATAAAATTTAGGATACTTTGTTTGTTATTTGGAAAATAATTTTTTTGTTTCTCTTTTAAAATAGGAAAAGATAGAGTAGTTTCTTCAAAGTAAGTGCATCATTTATAATCTATCTGGCGAAAAACGTTACATTAGCCTGTACCTTCTCATCAAGATTTCACACAAAGGCACTTCGTGTGTTACCGTTGAATAAATTCAGCCTATTTCTGTTCTCATGAAGAAGATTTTTGAAAAAGTACATGTTCAATTGCTTACAAAAGAAATGGGACACTCGGTAAAAAATATTCCTTGCATTTATTATCATTATATTGTATAGCCGTATATCGAAAAAATGAGTGAATTATAGGAATATGTGGACATATGTCCACATATTCCTATAATTCGTAAATACGAACAATTATTTAGCTATCCACTATTAGATTATGGTTATTCGGGATAATCTATAATTCAGGACAGTTATTTGTTATACATGTAGTTCGGAGTAGTGCATGTAATTGTATTAATAGAACCATACTGTATTACCTATTTAGGATTCATTGTTAGGATTCCGATTTTGGGAATTTCGATATACATGCACATGTACGCCAACTACACAAGAAATGAGACTCTAGATCTACTTAAAGAAGAACGTGGAAACGAAAATGGGCAATTATTATTCAAAAAAACTTTTGTGCAATCGAAAGTATGGTATGGTTAATGATGTTACAACGTAAGCATCGAAATGGCAATGTCTGAATGTCTGACTATGAAGGATCTTAATCGTAATATAATTAAAATAAATTATCAATAAATATATAATATTTATTATCATTATTTCATTTTAATATCTGGAAAATTTTTTCTGTAACTCAGATGAAGTCATACAATGAATGCATAAAAGTTTAATTTCTTTCGTAAGCCATTGTATTTTACTCAACGACCTCTTGATGGGAACAGAGATAGGCTGAATAAATGTAACAGAAATATGATGTGTTTTTTGAATTTATAATTTTCACGTCAGACAGTACATGTATTTTTATAAATGATGCACCTGTTTTGGAGGAACTATAAAATTATTCATTATGTATAGTCCTATTAACAATTTTAACAATATTAAAAGTATAATTTGTAGCCAAGCAGGGGCGGACAAAATTCAGTTGATCAACTATATTGTTGTTCTAAAGATAAGGATCGGTCTACTTACTCATCTGGTTGCAATTATCAAGCAGCTCAATGCCATAGTTTAATGCTATAGTACAACTCACTTTTGATATAAGAGAGTTATTGAATCCAGCAAAAACTTTCTTATATCTTAGATTGATTTTAAATTATTGGGAGTCACCTGTAACATTTAGTAATACTAAATTTGACTTCCATCCAATTCACTTGAACATAAAGATGGTTTTTTTTATTAGTCTCACATCCTAAGACCATTACATACAGTGGCGCTCAAAAGTAATGCATCACTAGGGCGAAAAAATGAATCGTGGAATTTTTAGCAATATAGACGCCACAGATAAATGAAACTTAGCCCATATATAGTTAAAAGCATAAATAAATAATACATACAATTTAAAGAATAAATGTAACACCA